AGTGGTATGATTTTCCTTTATTCTGTTGCCAGTGAAATTTCTGCCTTCTGGAGGTTTTAAAAATGCCAGATTAAGTAACTGGATTGGGCAATCCAATAGTCTATAGTTCCAGAGTTATGCCTTTGAAGGCCACAATTGTATAGGATTATTCTCTGAGCCAAAGAGACATCATCTTCTGGAGTTCAGCTGTGCCTACTTGCCAAAAAATCGTCCCAGCTGGTTTTGTTGACTGTTTACATACACCATAGAGAGGTCACTGAACCCTTGTCTGAGTATCCAGCCACTTACAATCACCTGTTGCAGGTAACTCTGCCCTATTGCACATGGTCTAAGGGAGGGGCTAGAGAATAGACCAGGGAAGATTGGGGAGGGGAGCTCCATCTGTACAGCTATGGTAAAGCATCATCCCTGCTAAGTAAAGACTTTCTGGTGTGGCCTTTTGGGGCAGGAGCACTCCCACCCTATAGGTAACCCTTCACCTATGCCCAGTAAACTCATTGGCTCCCCAGAGTGAACTTCGGGAAACTCATGCCCCAGTTTGTTGTTGGGACTTTAGTGGGAAAGGTAGATGTTGTGTATGTCTTCCCTGGGAAGGAATTTTAGCACCAGATAACCAGACCTTACTGCTTCAAACAAATGAATGAAAAGAACACCATCCAAACCTTAATGTTTTTGTCTTCCTGGGGGACTCTGGGAACAAGTTTCGCATTTTCTGTGGTTGCCATTGCATCAGTTGGTATGGGTAATTGGCATGGATCCAAGCAATTCACTGCAAGTGTTTGTGCTTGCTTTGCCAAACTTATGGTCCACTTAATGGGAAGGTGATAAAAACTTCTGGTGATACATCCCATCTAATGAACCCTTTGGACACTTAGAGATGGACTGCAGTTGTAATCGTAAATAGGTTCCAGTGTGCACTTGTAAGTTTGTATGTTTTGAGGATGAAGGCTTTCTCAGGTAGGAAAGTGATGATTAGTTTAAGAATTCTAGAAAATGTTTCTTGTTGTTTGTTTTGTTTTTGAGACATCTCCGCCCAAATGTCCTGTGACACAGAAACCAATTTCAGTAAACAAATTAAAAGGCAATTAAATCAGGTACTATGAGCATCATCACATTGCCGTTTTCCCTGTCACTGAATTCTTCTGGACTATTAAAGATGAATGAGATTTTGAAATTGGAACATGAAAGGGTAGATATCTATATCTATATTTATCTATAAAGTTTCTAAATAATGAAATTGCAGTTAGCTGAATGCATTTATGGTGTTGATGTTACTGTTGTTTTGAATGGCAAGATCAACTCCCACTGAAAACAGTTTGTTCTCTGATAGTTTGGGAGTGTCCATACCTTTAATAGAGGCTAATGCATTTCCCACTCTCTCAAATTCTGATATAAAAGCATTATGGTTTTTTCTAATTTATTGATTTTTTATTTCATGTACATTCATGTTTTGACTGCATGTATGTCTGTGTGAAGGTATCAGATCCCCTGAAACTGGAGTTACAGTTAGGAGCTGCCATGTAGGCTCTGGGAATTGAATCCAGGTCTTCAGGAAAAGCATTCAGTGCTCTTAACTGCTAAGCCATCTCTCCATCCCTGCATTATAAAGTTTTAATGTCTTATGCCAGAGTCTATTTTCATCAGGTGAAAAGTATTTTAGAATCCATCAGGTCCTTAGGAAATGACATTAGAGAAAGTGTACATTTCTATCTGATTGGGAGGGACCTTGCCAAGTTCTTTTTAAAGACAGGGTCTCATGTAGCCCAGGCTGGCCTGGATCTTGCTATGTAGCAGATGACCTTTAACTCCTAATCTTCTTGCCTCTATCTACCAAGTGCTAGGAACCAAGTGTGTGAACCACCACAGACAGCCTGATTCCAAGTTCTTGTATATGTATATGTTTATGTATCTGGCTCCATATGTAGCATGGAAGCCAGAATTCAACCTCAAGTGCCATTCCTCAGGAGCAATCTATCTTATTCTCCAAGGCACACTCTCATGGGACCTGGGGATTATGGATTCTAGTAGACAGACTTGAGCCAGCAAACCCCAGGGACCTCCCTGTCTCCAACTCCCCAGTGCTGGAATTATACTCCTAAAACATGGAATGAGGCTTTTTGTTTTGGGTTCTGGGGATTAACTCACTTTACTGATTGAACCATCCCCTCAGTCCTGAACACCACTTTTTTATGATTTGCACTGTAGCAGTCTCAGAGCCTCAAATTTTGTGTTCAAATCTCTCAACTCATAAGGGCCCCTCCAGACACTTAGAACTATACACCTCAAGACTTAAGTTAAAGCTAAAACAATCCTTCACAAACAGTCAGGATCTAAATTACTGTATAGAACCATCCTCCAAGCTAAACTGACACCATATTCAAGGGTTCAGCTGGGCCTGCTTGCCAGAAATCATCACCGGTGTGCTTGTTGACTGCTAGCAATCTCTTGGAGGGAAGAGGTGAGGAAAGCCATAGGACCCTCATCTGAATATCCAGTCACTCTTCCCAACCAGATGTATGCAATTCTGCCTAATTGCACATGATGGGGGAGGGTCTTCTGGGAAGGACTAGAGTATATCGGTGGGAAAGGATGAGGGGAAGGGACTACATTTGCACAGATAAGGTATGGGGGTTTGTGGTCTTCATGAGTGTTGGGTGTAGACATTCCAATTTCCCCAAACCCCTCACCCACTGCTCTGTAGGTGAGCCTAATAAACTCAATGATTCACCAAGGCCAACTATGGTGGAATTACACTTTGGTTTGTTCTTAGGACTGTAGAAGTGGATAGAAGGTGTTTACATCTCCTCATGGGAAGGAATTTTAGCAATACTCAGTAAATGTTTGAAAGTTTTCTTTTAGATTTTGAAATTCTCCTGTGATGACTGAGCGCTCTGCCTCATAGCATGGAGAAAAGCTGTTATGCATGCAGGCCTAACTGGTGAGAGGTTTTCTCTCTCTCTCTCTCTCTCTCTCTCTCTCTCTCTCTCTCTCTCTCTCTCTCTCTTGG